CGGGTAGAAATCTGACACCGAGCAGACCAGCCTGTTGTGGTGGTTGAGGACCTCCATCCTGGACAGGTAGACGGCCACCTTGGGCTGCTCTGGGGGAGAGATGAGAAAAGATGGTGAGTGAGATGGGGGCACGTAGAGGGTCCCCATGGGGAAGAGGCAGGTGGGGATGCCTGGGCCTGAACTCTAATATTAAATGAAGACCAACTCCACAAATATAAACTCAGCAGTCACTAGGAAAAGAAGAGTGAGTGGCCCTGCTCTTGCATAACACGAAAAACTGGTTGTGATTTCTTCAAGTTTACAATTTTTGAAGAAAAAAACTTTAAAAATAACTCCAGTACATTACTTCCTTCACTTAGACTGACATGCACAATCGCACAGACATCTTTCCTAACTGACTTTATATATACATCATGCCAGCTACACCAGAAGCCTGCTGGCTGTGTGCCCTCATCCCTTCAGGGTGAAAACAGCATACATACTTAGTGTGTTCTCTGAATTGAGGACACGCTAGATCGCTCATTTTCTCCCCCTTCCCATTTTCTTTCCATAGTCCAGTGTGTTAGTTACTGCTGCCTTCACTGTATTCCCTTGCTGTGAAGAATTTAACTGTCAGAACTTAACAACGGACTGTTTCAGTCAAATAACAAGGTTACCCGAAAAGCATAAGAAACCTTGAGTTAACCATTCATATATTAGTAATGTATGATATTAAATCTGAACACGATGCTTCTTTAACATGCCTCAGAGCGTCAGGGAGTGCGCTGAAGAGGAAATGAGCCAAAGAAGGCAAAGTCTAGGGGAATTCAGCTTGAGTGAAAGCTTCAGAGAGCATCCCAGCACTGTCCCCGAGAGGAGTTAAAGTAACACACATAGCAACGGCTTCATGCAGGATAGGGCAGTTCCCCCATAAAATGGAGCCAGGACCCCTTAAAGTAACTGCTAGTTCTAGGGTGGGGGTGGTAAAGTGCAGAGGTCCTCTCCCCAAGTTAGGAGGGGGGCGACGCTGGAGAGAGTTGGCGGTTAGGACACTTGCTGCTCTTGCAAGGGTTTTTGCAAGATGTTGGTTCAGTCCCCAGCATCATTCTCTCTACTGTCTGTAACTCCAACCTCAGGGGTCCAATGATAAGGCCTCTTCTCTCGTTTTTAGTACTTTCCCCTCAGATTTTGTATCACAAACTTTTAGTATGGTCCAAGTCAACACAGTCTACTTCAGAGAAAATATAACAGAAAAGGCTTCAGGTCAGTGCCAGGGAGCAAACAGCCTCACGACACACAAACTCGGTCTCAAAGGGGCAATCAGGGAAACAGATTAGCGGTGAATAACTACTCTGCACCGAAAGTTAAAACACATTACAGGATCATGGCCTTTCCCTTGTTTAACTTCCCTGGGTTGGCGCTGGGTGGGCCGCACAGGTCAAAGGGCAAAGGTGAGAAGGGAGGGAGACCCCAGGGAGGTGCTGGGTAAACAAAAAGGAGGCTGTGGCAGCTCCTCCTGCTGGGAACCCTGGTTGCGGTGTCCCCTCCGGCCCATGCACCTAAGGGCCGCCGCCTCCCCGCGAACCCTCCCTGCGCTCACCACGCCGCCTCAGGGCGGTGGGGACCTCCGTCTTCTCGTAGTTGTGTCTGCACACCGTGTCCGTCTCGGCCCGCTTCTGCTCCAGGATCTCCTTCTGGCTGTTGAAGTCCTCGGCTATGCCCCGCCCCCGCTCGGTCACCGCGATGAACTTGCCCACGTCGCTGTCGTAGCGCAAGAACTCCTCCCGGTTGTAGACGTATCTGTCCACACCCCGCACGCGCTGCGTCCCGTTGGTGAAGTAGCACAGGCCCTTGAACTGGATCACGAAATCCCCTGCGGACGGACGCGGTCAGCCCTGGGGCGGCGCGGGCAGCGGAGACCCCCGGAGCCCACGATCTGACCCCGCGCGGCGCTGAAGCCTGGGACGACGCGGTCTCTAGGGACCTCGGAGCCTCAGGACGGGCGGACAGGAGGGAACCCCGCCCGGCTTTAGAGGGGTCGGGACTCTGTGTGAACCCGGTCTCCACGGAGCTCCCAGACAGTAACTAACAGAAGCTTCCTTCTGAGTAAAGAAGTGTTCAGTCAAGCGACTGACTCTTCCTGACAAGAATATTCCCGGAAGCACCAATTGTATTTTATTTTATTTTATTTTATTTTATTTT